GCTCCTGCTCCCCACTCCTGCGCTGTGCCCGGCTGTGCGGCTCTGTCCCCAGGAGATGGCACCCTTGGCCAGCCCAGCCCGCCTCCCGCTGAGTCCCGGGGCTCTGGCTGCCTCCGCAGCCSGAAAATCCTCCAAACCGGCCACTCCAGCCTGTCCAGCCCGGCCTTGGAGGGTTCCGTGTGGGGCTGCAGCCCCTCATCCCCCAGGCTGGTTCCTGCCCCTCCCGGCAGCTCCGTTTGCTCCAGCCCCCGGTTCCTGGTGGGTTCAGAGTCCCCCTACACCCGGCACTGCCCCATTCCTCCCTTTGCTCCTCATCCTGTCACCATCACTCCAAGGATGCTCAGCAGTGTCCGGGCATTGTGGCAGCCCCCTGTCCCTCACAGAGGCTGTGGGTGACCCCTGGGTGACCCCTGAGTGACCCCTGAGTGACCCCTGGGTGACCCAGGATCCTGAGGTGCTCCTGTGCATCATCAGGGTGATGCTGTAACAGCCTCCTCGCCAAAAACAGGCGCAGGTCAGGAAAAGGGAGGCGTTTTACCAAAATCCAGGCTGTGCTCAGGGCTGGCCTCCCAAACCCAGCAGCCAGCTGRAGAGCAGGGTCAGCGGGGTGGGAAAAGAGCTTGGTTGGCTGAGGTCTGGCACAGGGATGAGGAAAAAGCCCTAAAAATGCATAGGGAAGGAGCAGGGAARGGAGGGTTCAGTGCCAGGGCTGTGTGCTGAGGTGCAAAGCGTGGGCGGCAGAGAAGGGAGATGAGTCAAAGAACAATCTTTGGCCAGAACAGCTGATCTGATTGCGTGGAGTTTTGACCTGATGGGAGCAACTCCTCATCCTCATGGCTGGATTCTCTCAGGAGAGGCATTTTCCTGGCAGAACCCTCATGGTAAGGAGTTTGCAGCCTGCCCAGGAGCTCTGCTGTTAATTTTTAACACTAAAACCCTGGGGAAATTCCAGAGGACTGGCGGGTGGCCACTGGGAGTCAATTTAATATTTAAAAGGGATAAAAGGGCTGATCCTGGGAATTACAGGCCAGGTGAGGCTGATCGCCGTCCCTGCACAAATTATGGGCTGGGTAATTGAGGATACTGTCAGCCAAAAATTAGAAGCTAAAAATATAATTAAGGTCGTTAGCTTGGTTTCATGGATGGCAGCTCCTGTCAAGTGAGTCGGCTTTGGTTTTTGGCATGACTCTGGGCTGGCTGATAAAGCTAATTGTGCTGCTGCATTATAATGGGTTTCTCCAAAGTATTTAATTTAGGGCCATGTGACATTTTCATTTGTAAAACTCGCATTATATGGAGTCAGCAGAGCAGACATCCGACGGCTGCGCTGGCAGCTCCGGGGCGGTGGCCAAAAGGGAGAGTGATGGAGGAGGCTGATAGCGCTGCATTTTGCACAGAGTGATGTTTTTAGCAGGGATGCTGAGGTGAGAGGGGCTGGCAGCCTCCCTGCCCTGCCCAAAGGTGGGGAAACACAAATGGGAACAAAAGAGATGGATTTTCCCTGCTAAAGCACAGTGAGGTCTGATGGCAGCAGCGACTTAGACACTGATAACCCAGCTAGGAGTGCAGTTAGGCAATTTTAGGGGAAAGGTGTGAACTCACAGACTTTTGGCATCTCTGGACAAGAGGAAAGCTCTGCTTGATGGGACAGGATTTGCTGGGGCTTCTGGGACAAGTACAAGCCTCTGTGAGTGGGTGCAGCCTGCTCTGGACCATCCTCATCAGCTTTTCCAGACCCATGGGAGCTACATCAGCTGCAGTGGAATATTGTGGATTCCCTCCAGWGCATCATTTGGGTCCTTTTCTCTTTCCCAATGGGAAAAATGGGATCGAATGGGGTGTGGAGCAACCYGGTCTAGTGGAAGGTGTCCTGCCCMTGGCRGGGGGWGG